CCTCCCCCAGTTGTGACGGCCACACCACAATCCCTTCTCCTGCATTTGTTTCTGTGATCTTGGACATGCACACACATGTGCCCACTGTCGTTTTCAAGCTGCCGAATCTGGGACTTGAACCACACTGTTGGTCATGTGGGATCCGGCTGATTTAACCATCATGCCATTGGCTAGCCCAAGAAATAGACTTAAAAGAGCTGGGGGGGGGGTGTGGGAACCAGCAGATGGAGTAATGGTTACATTGCTCGACTCCCACGGCATCAACAGTGGTTTGAGTCCCAGACCCGGCAGCTTAAAACTCACGCCAGGCGTGTGTGCCTATGTGCCCAAAACCCTGAGAGGAGAACGGAAGAGAAGGGATGGCCACAATCATTACCCCCGGGGGATGATCTCTCTCTCACTGACGAGTGCAAGTGCCCTATAGCAAAAATCTAAAAAAAAAAAAAAAAGACAGGGGGAAATAAAAGGCTTATTACATGGTGACAGACTATCTTCTAGCCTTTAAAAAGTATGATTCTGGGACCAGCAGATGGTGTAATGGTTACATCGCTGGAATCCCCACATGGCCAACCACGGTTCAAGTACCAGACCCAGAGCTTAAAATTCACATGTGTCATGTGTGTGACTGCCCAAGATCCCAGGAGGAGAAGGGATTGTGGTGTGGCCGTCCCCCTGGAGGGTGATTTCTTGCTGTCTCTCTGATGAGTGTACACGCCCTAAAAAATTCTTCTCTTAAAGTATGATCCTATTTCGCCTGAGTTTGTGGGAGTGTGGGCCAATGGCTGCCTTTCTATTCATTCCTTAGGGAAAACCTGTACAGCAGCTCCCTGGGAGGAGGGGTGGCCACCTCCCCGATGCTGATTGTGTTCCACGGAAAATACTCCACCATCAACCCCCTGTGGCACATACGGCACCTGGGTACGTATTCTAGGAAAACTAAAAGCATAGTTTATCCACCCAGTGAGAGAGCAGAGTGCTGGGCGCCAGGCTCCTCAATGTAGACCCTTCGGCTAAGCTCGGACAAGTTCCCCGGGGCTCGTGCTCAGTCTATAAATACAGCTGATGTTCTTAGGTACCTGAGGATCATCTTTCTAGAAATTTGTGAAAAGCTGTTAGACAAAGGCTTAGCATATTGGGGTACCTAAAAAAACATTCACTATGTTTTTAAAGAATCACTTATTGTTATTTTTTAATTCACCAGAGAGGGACAGAGAGAAAGAGGAAAGTGAGAAAGCAAGCTGCCAGGTCTGGGACTCGAATCACTATCAGCCATGTGGGAATCTTGCACCTTAACCACCATGCCACCCGCCAGCCACAACATTCACTTTTGTTAAGATGGAACTTGGAAAAAACTTCCCACATGCCTTTACGGCAGCCTGTAGTGGACAAAAACAAATGTAGCAGCAGCATGATGAATTATGAGGAAGTTGGAGGACTGGCACTGAAATCGTTTAAAAAGCAGTTGTCGATTGCCTGCGTACTCAGTGAGTGTCCTACCAGTCTATTCACTCTGGGAGTGCAGGCTCTGGGGGGTGGCTTAGAATCCCAGGATCTTGGGCAATGTATTCGACCTGTGCCTCAGTCTCCTCATTGTAAACTGAAGCAAACAGAATCTTATGAAGTTGAAGGGAGAAATCACCGACTGCATGTCAACTGCCTGGAACAGAGCCTGGCATGCAGTCCCGTTCCTCCTCACACACGGCCACAACCCCCACCCAAAGCCACTGGAACAGACTCGTTCAGAAATGTAGCTCAGGAATTAGTGGTGGAGCCGAGAGAAGATGCTCTACTTTGTCGAGACTCTTCACAGAAAGGTACCCCTTTCCAAATGTGCATTTCCTACGTACAGACTCTAGCTATTAGGATGGCGGAAAAGTCATGACGTACTTGTTTTTCTATGCAAAAATGTGTCATGACCTTTCCGACAACCTAACATGTAAATCGAACATTTCAGTATTACAATTATACTCCCATTCCTCGAAACACTAGCTCCTCTTCCACTGTTCCCCTCACACCTGTTGAGGATGACGTAAACCAGGTGTTTCTGTTACTAGTATCAGAGACCCAAATAACATAATCCCACCTATTCCCCCTCTCTTGACTCAATAGATTCCCAGTTGTTGTCTAACAGGATATTTAAAACAATGTTTTGCACTCATACTGTTACCTCTAGAAGGAGTATTCTGAAGATATTTTGAGAAATGGCAACATTAGGGAAAATGCAGTCTTTTAAGTGAACTTACAAGGAGAATAATATTCCAGTAGAGATGGCTGTTTTTCAAAGTAGATATCCTTTTTTTCCCCTTAAGAGAGATTTGCTATAGGGCACATGCACTCACCGGAGACACACAAACACAGACAGAGAGAGACAGAGAGATAGAAAGCAGGAAATCACCCCCCAGGGGGGATGGCCACGCCGCAATCCCTTCTCCTTCATGCTCCTCTTGGGATTTTGTGCATGCATGGAACACCCAACGAGAGTTTCAAGCCACTGGGTCCAAGACCCTGAACTACAGTAGGCCGTGTGGGAGTCCAGCACCACACCACTAAGCAAGATGCTGGCCCCAAGAAATCTTAGGCACATTTCAAATGGTAAAAAGAAAATTTAAAAGAAAGTGTTGCCATATTAAGGAGGTAGGATACAGGGAAATAAGAAGTCCTATAGACACTGTGTGGGAGGGAAACCAACATGACTTCTTAGGGAACAATTTGGCAAAAGACACAAACCCCTTCACCTAGTTGTTCTACCTACACGTCTATCCTACATACAAGTTTTACACATACACCAAACATATGTAGAAGGCTCTTCACTGTTGTGTTGTTTGTGTTAGTGACAAGACAGAAACAACCTAAATTACCTTAAAAGGACCTCAATAAAAAAATCATAGAGGCCAACCATGGTGGGCCGGCCAGTGGTAGTCCACCCATGGTGGTGCAGTGGTAGTCCACCCATGGTTGGCCAGTGGTTATCCACTGCTCTGTGATGCTGAAGCCACATGGGAAGGTCCCAGGTTTGTGTTCAGAGGTTTCCTTTGTACACAATAGGCACGCACGCATGATCCTGGCTGGCTGAGGTTGGGAGTGGATGAAGGCCCTGTTGGGGGTGACTGTCTCTCTCACAAAAGTTAAAAAAAAAAATCACATATTCATTTTATATAATTATTTGAAATTTAGGAAGTCTATATCTGCTCATATGAGAAATTTTTTTTTGAGAGAGATTTTCACTATAGGGCGCGTGTGCTCGCCAGACAGACAGAGAGAGACATAGAGATAGAAAGCGAGAAATCACCCCCCAGGGGGGATGGCCACGCCGCAATCCCTTCTCCTCCATTCTCCTCGCGAGATCTTGGGCACGCATGCACACGCACCCGGCGTGAGTTTTAAGCCACCAGGTCCAGGACGCGAACCGCGGTCGACTACGTGGGAGTCCAGCGACATAGCCATTACGCTAACTGCTGGTTCCCCATATGAGAAATTTTCTAAAGGAATAATTTTAAAAAGGCAAGGTACAAATAAATAAATTAAAAAAAACAGGCAAGGTAGCAATATATTGTTTTGTTTTCTCCAAAAAATATAAATGCATGTAGGTATACTACTAGAAAAATACTAGAAATATACTAGAAAAACTCATGAGAGACTCTTTAGTGGTTGCTTTGGAGATCTGGGGTGGGTGGAACATTATTTGTTATATAACCCTTTCTTGTTTTATTTTTTCCCACCATGAACTTGTACTTAATTTTTAACATAAAAATTATATTCTCTAACAAGCCTATTCTTTTCCTCTAAACACAATGAAGGTTGGAACCCAGATACCAGATATTCAGAGCACTTTCTGCAGGAAGCTAAGTTACTCCACTGGAATGGAAGACATAAGCCTTGGGACTTCCCTAGCGTTCACAACGACTTGTGGGAAAGCTGGTTTGTCCCTGACCCTGCAGGGGTATTTAAACTCAATCACAATAGTTGATGTGATGTAACACTTCAAGTATCTGCTGTGTAAAAATGTGGAACTGTCTGTGGCCTACCATACCATTCTCCTTTATGGGCAGTACCTTCGATATGCATGAGCCACAGTACAAAAAAACAGAAACCACTGTGTGCAAACGGTATTATGCTTTGCACCATATAGGATTGATTTACTTCAAGAGAATGTGAGTGGTCATTATGGAAATGGAAGATTTTGTGAACGAAATACATCACTGGAAAGAAATAAACCCATCTAGATATCAACAATCAGCTTGCTAAATACTAAATGACAGTTATGTCTACAAATTTTTAAAATTTCTAAATGCATTTCTCACATGCAAGTTCTTATGTTTTAAATGTTGCTGGTCTTATCTTTTACAGAATTATCAAATTTAAGACGCAATGTGTGAAAAAATAAAATATTCACAGATTTTTATAGTTTTCATCATGTATGTTATTCTACATGTTAAAGACAGAAGGTAAGATGACCTCGGGTTTAATGGGTGAAAGAATACCTTTAAGTCTTGCTACAGAAAAAGCCTACAACTTAAGAATAATCATTAATTTTTTTATTATTAAAAACCATCAGACTTTCAAATGAATTGAAAAATCTTTCGATATTATTTAATGAAAAAGTCTCATACTGTCATGTACAGGAAACATCAACATTTACTACTTTGTCAAGTTTGATGAAAACCACCATACCTGTATGGTTGGAAAAACTTGAAACCCATTCTCTAGTGAGTGTTTGTCATAATTTAAAGGGGATTTTTTCCCACTCAAATAAAATTTATTGTAAATCTACAATAGTTATATACCAAAACAATACCTAGTTACATGCTTTACATAGTCGCATGAAAAAATAATTCAGTTGCTCCTAATCCCTGATGCAAGGCACTTCAAAGCACCCGCACAAAACGTCCATGTAAACAGCAGTACAGTACATCAGTTAAATAACATGAATGACATTTACACAGCTCGATCTAGACTTCGGAAAAATTAAAATCCATTATAGCCACAGCTAAAAGCATGTTAAGATTCACAACACGAATGTGTTTCTCTTATTTCTAAGAAAAGAACAGGCCATGTATCCTCCTGAGGGGAAGAACCTCAGAAATACTTCAGAAAAAACAGCATGCTCCATGTGTGAAACCAGAATCTTCAGGAGTGATTAGGACTTGAATGCAAATGGCATTTTTGAGTAACCAGCTTTAATTCCTCCAGATCCAGGAAGTATGGACTCTTTGTAGCACCATGGAAAACGCATTAGAAAATCACAAAGGTACTTAACTCAGAACAACCATTCATGAGGTTCACTTAATCCACTGTAACTAACAGTGATGATGCAGAGAAAGAATTTTTTAAGTAATTGGCTTTCTAGGTTTACCCAGCAAGGAGGATCCTGTATTATTTATTTCAGTACATCTCATGTACAGAAAGCACCAGTTTAAATAAGATGATCAAACATCCCCAGCATCTTTTTGTTCAGCCTAAAAGTTCATTTCTTACCACTTTCCATGTCCTTTCCTTAAAGCCAAGGAGGGGATAAATTAGAATGGTGATAAATACTGACAGGGAAAATTCAGTTCCTTCCCTGTCACATTTACATCTCTCAAGTAAAACTGAGATAAGTAACAACATATAAAAGGTCTACTGCAGTCTCTGGAACTTACCATCCCAGCAGAATAGTTTCTGCCTACCAGAGGATTAGCACACAGGGCTGAGGTGGCAAAGGACAGGGTTCAGTGCCCTATCAGGGAAGGCCAGGCTGGCTGGCAAGGCCTTGTTCCACGATTCTATTACGAAGCAGCTCTCATGAACACCGCTGGGAAAGCAAGGAGGTCTCATTAACCACCACTTGAAACTAACAGATGAGCCTCCACTGAGGGTTAACTTCATCTACGAAAGTCAGCACCTTTGCTCCTTCACCAGCGGCACTTCCCATCATGAGCATGCCCTTCTCAGGCAGAAAGGGATAATGGTACCTCTAGGTTTATGCACAGTTAAGAATTAACTATAAATATTCAGACTTGTATTTTAAAATTATAGATCAAAAGTCACTCCCCAAAGAAAATCAATTTCTTCATAAATGCAATATAGTATATAAAAAGCTGGAATGATGCTTAATTCAAATACAAAAACTCATATACAAAAAAACCCTACTTTTCCTTCTAAGCTACTCAGGTTCATAGAGGTGATTCTACCACACAAGTGTTCTTGACCGTAAGCACACCACTAGAGTAAAAGACCAATCAAATACTTAGTTAGCACACCGAGGTTCTGCTTCCTGACGACTGCATTAAAACTGCAGCATGTAAGCACAGCTGAGAAACCCCATTCTTAAGCGCAGTTTCCTTCTTGTTCTTGTGTTCCACAGTGATTAAAAGAGGGAGTCTGGTCTGCAAATGGCTGGCTTATCCACTGCTCGTTTGGAACGTCACTGAAAGTTGATTCTCCTCTTAACTCCACACTGTCCGCTGCTTGAGAGGGGAAAAGAATGTTACTTTATTCTATCTGGAAGTTTTTTTTTTTTTTAATATATATTCATTCATTCATTCATTCATTTAGAAGAGGTTTTTGCTATAGGGCGCGTGCACTCGCCAGAAAGAGAGAGAGACAGAAAGCGAGAAATCACTCACCCCCAGGATTCATGGCCACACCACAATCCCCTCTCCTCCATTCTCTTCTTGGGATCTTGCGCATGCCTGCACACACGCCCAGCGTGAGCTTAAGCCACCGGGTCCAGGACTCGAACCGTGGTCGACTACATGGGAGTCCAGCGACACAGCCATCATGCTAACTGCTGGTCCCTATCTGGGAGTCTTAAATGATCAAATTAGGAGATTTTTAACAGTCTCATGAAAGAGAATGATTTAAATAGTTAAGCAAGCTTCCTAAGTACACGTTTTTATTCTGTTTTCAGATGCAGGATGGATAAATCCTAATTTGTTATAAAAGAAGGAAAATATGACTAGGATAGCTTAAAGAGCCAGTGGCTTACTGAAAATGAGCTGTAAAGTTCGAGTAGTTAACCATCGAATAAGCATCACATTTTCACTGCTAGTCACTAGGTAAATTTTTATATTTACTATTCCTATTTTTTTAGTATTTTACTCTTTCTAGTAAATTTTTTTTTCTCCAATCCTGATAAACCAAGTCCCTTGAGGAACACACATGTGGGAGGGAACATACTTAGCCCATTTGAAGAGAAGCCACAAGGTTCACTATTGCACGGATTTTCACTGTAAGCGCCACCGTACGCTGCTTCGTAACCTGGATCGTATTTTTCTTCCTTAACAGCCATTTTCTTTGCATCCTCTGTGAGAAGGGTAAAAGGATTTAAAACTATTTTTAAACAACATTTATGAAAATAATTCAGAAATGACAAACAGCTGTTTTTCTTGAATGTTTGTGTATTTTTTGCTGTAATTTTTGAAAATCCTCATAGTGTAGACTAAATTAATTCCTAAGAACTATAAAAAAAAATCTATCCATTTAATTGTAGGCAGGTACAACCATTTCTTAGAGCCTCAGTATCTGCAGGAGTGCCCACGATAGAGAAGCCCTTAGTAAAAAGAGCGTTTTTTCCCTTTTTTTTGTCATAGGGCAGGTGCACTTGCCAGAGAGATACACAGCGACAGGAGAGAAGGCACCATGTCCCCGGGGGTGCGGACATACCACAGTCCCTCCTCCTTTTCGCCATCCTGTTGGGATCTGGGGTATGCATACATATGCGCCTGGCTTGTTTTTCAAGTTGCCAGGGCTAAAATTCCAGCCACAGTTGGGTCTAACTCCCTTAACCACTCAGCTACAGGGCAACGCCCTGCCAGAAAAAGGATTTTGACAGTGACTAATATCCAGTAGCAGAGCACCCTGGCAGCAGCTGGAATGTTCTTTCCTCCCCCGTTAAGTCCACCACACACTTCCTGTGATGCACACACACGGACTGAGCAAGAGGGGTGCTGACGGCCACTTACCTTGGGCAAGCTGCAGGTCGAACGTGTACTGCACCTCTTGGACGTCTGTGTTTCGTTCGATGCCTTTCAACTGATCTCGTAAGTCCTTCAGCTTAATGTAGTAATGAACTTTGTCCTGGGCTCGAGGAAACTGAGCACATCGCGCGCTGGACGATGGCATCACATAGCAGAGCTGGAATCAGAAAACGCTACTTCAGAACCCTGTGGTCCCAGAGTCCACGCATACAGATGAGAACATCTTTATGTGGACAAATATTCTGATATTTAACTATGTAGGATATATGTAACAAACAAAAGCCCTGTGTTTGAGTTCCAACCTGTAATATTTACTTGGGACGAAATGAGTGAATTAAAAACAATGAGGCTTTCCCCACAATTTACATTAATTACTAATCTTTTCTCTTTTTTTTGGAGAGGTTTTCGCTATAGGGTGCATGCGCTCACCAGACAGACAGAGACAGAAAGCGAGAAATCACTCCCCAGGGGGTATGGTCACGCTGCAATCCCTTCTCCTCCATTCTCCTCTCGGGATCTTGGGCACACACGAACACACACCCAGCGTGAGTTTTAAGCCACTGGGTCCAGGACGCGAACCGCAGTCGACTACGTGTGTGTCCAGCGACATAGCCATTACGCTAACTGCTGGTTCCCCTAATCTTTTCTTTTTAAAAGCAAATATATAGGGGCTAGCAGGTGGTGTGGAGATTAAGGTTCTGGATGTCACAAGGCTGACTCCGAGGTTCGAGCCCTAGACACAGCAGCTTGAAAAATCTCACCACTCCTGTTTGTCTATCCAGTTCCTCTACCTAGAGGCAATCCTGATTACCCGTCTAGACGTATTCCACGAATATGCAACCAAAGGAGTCTAGATATATCGTCTTCCTTAACCTCTTTTAGAAAATATACGAATGGAAACAAACTCTACTCTCTGTCCTGCACTTCGCTTTTTGTGCTCAACAAAGTATCTCAGAGATAATTTTGTATCAGATATCAGAGCAAAAAGAGCTTCCTTTTGTGTAGCTGTGCAATATTTTCATTATTAAACCAGAGCTCAACTGCGGACATTTCAGTTAATGCCAATCTTTTGCTGTTGTAAGTTATAATGAAAAACCTTTCATGTATTAAATTTTGTATAGATGTGAATGCACCTGCTGTATAACTTCCTGAAGTAGAATGGCTGGAGAGAGAGATATCTGTATCTATATTTTTTAAAAAATAATTATTTAGGGATCGGCAGGTGGCATAGTGGTTAAAGGCACTGGACTCCCACGTGACCAACCATGGTTTGAGTCCCGGACTTGACAACTTGCTTTTTCACTCCCCCCACATCCTTCTTTGATCAGAGTAAAAATATAAAAAGTTAAATTAAAACAATTCTTTTAAAAAGGATTATTTATTTATTAAATTCTATTTGTTATTATTATTAATTTTTAATCTGACCAGAGAGAGGTAGAGAGAGAGAAAAAGGGAAAGCAAGAAAGCTAGCCACCTGGTCTGAGATTTGAACTGCAGTCAGCCATATGAAGTCCAGTGCCCCAGCACACCATCTGCCAGCTCCTCTATTATTTTTGAAAATTTATCAGAGGCTACATATGACCACCAGAGACAGAGAAAGGGAAAGTGAGAAAAGCATCTTCCGTAGGGGATGGTCAGAATGCAATCCCTTCTCTATTTCTCCCTCATTTTGGGATTTTGGGCATACATGCACATGTGCTCAGCATGCCTCTTAAGGTGCTAGGTCCAGGCCTCATACTGTGCAGTCAGCCATGTCGGATCCAGCTGCTTTAACTACCATGCCAGCCCACAGCTATCCCCTCAGCTTGTTTGCTTTTAAATCTTTGTCAGAGGGTGTGTGCACTTGCCAGAGAGACAGAGAGTAGGAGATAAAGAGGAAGAAAGCACCTCCCATGGGGAATGGTTACCCTGCAGGCATTTCTCTATTTCCTCGAATTTTGGGTGTGCACATACATTCCTGGCATGTTTCTCTAGCCTCTGGGTTAGGGAACACACCACAGGATTGGCCATGTGGAATCCAGCTGCCTTCATGACCAGGCTACAAAGCCAGCCCAAGAGAAAGACATTTGTATTTACTGTTTTAGTTGATGGTGACAAATGTCATTCAAAGAGCATAACTACATATATAAAAATGAGTGAGGTTAATGAATTATGTATATTCATTGCAATTTAAAAATTGGCCTCCATGCCGAAAATTACAAGAAAAAACACATTATTTATTTTGAAATGCAACTTCTTGAGAATCCTGATCCAAAGATACATGGGTACAAATGTTTACCAGGTTCTGTAATCACACATTTTCAATTTCAAAATATTCAATTAAAATGACCCAGGGGACCAGCAGTTAGCGTAATGGCTATATCGCTTGACTCCCACATAGTCGAATGCGGTTTGAGTCCCGGATCCAGTGGCTTAAAACTCACGCCGGGTGCATGTGCATGCGTGCCCAACATCCTGAGAGGAAAACAGAGGAGAAGGGATTGCAGCGTGGCCACCCCCCTTGGGGGGGTGATTTCTCGCTTCACTCTCTCTCTGTCTGTCTCTTGTCTGTCTGGCAAGCACACGCACCCTATAGCAAAAACCTCTCCAAAAAGAAAATGACCCAGAAACTTAAAAAGGTAACTTTTTGTAACTTTTAATTAAGGATCAAAATCAGAATCAAATGTCTACAGAAGCTCCACGGAAATGATCGCATGAGAACTACTGTGTCCCTTCCTGATGCCTCTGTGTCTAAGACAATAGGAGCAAATGCCAGTTAGGATTGCTGGGAGCTTGTCTGGGGCTATTTCAAAGGTGAATCACTAACACTTATCAACAACATTAATATTTCATGATACAGGCTACATTTTAAAAGATAAATGCACTCACAGTTCATACTGTAAGAGCTAAAACTACCTGAGAGAATGTGACCCAGCACCACTTATTTTTTGAAAGAATTATTATTATTACTATTTTTATTTTCAAATTTGATCAGAAAGAGATAGAGAGAAAAGGAAGTGAGAAAGTAAGTTGCCGGATCCGAGACTCAAACTCTGGTCAATCATGTTGGAGTCTAGCGCCCTAACCACCATGCTACCTGCAAGCCCAACTTCACTTGTTATTTGCACTTCTGCAAGAGGTGAACCTGGGCCTCGCCTGGGATTTAACAGACAGCAATGCACTACCTACAGGAAGCAGTGAGCTCACTGTGCAATCTCACCTAACCAGACAGAAGTAATCTCCATTTAAAGACAGAGCAGTGCTACCACCTTCCTCCTCAACTGCATATTTATAAGAAGTTAAAAACATAAGAACGTAAAAAGAAGTTCAAATGCCGGTAAATGGCAAAAACATTATTCTGAGGTCACCACAAAAACCTGGTAGCACTCTGGCTTCTCCATCATTTAAAATGTTTTATAAACAGCATATATGTCTGTGCACTGTGGGGTTTTTTTTGAAAGTTATAAACAAAACTATATTTTTGGAGGGGTAGAGGTCTTTGCCTTAGAGCACATGCACTCGCAAGAGAGAGTGAGACAGAGACAGTGAAGGGGAAAGTGAGAAACCCCCCCCTGGCGGGAAAAGCCACATTGCAATCCCTTCTCCTCCATTCTCCTCTCAGAAGCTTGGGCATGCACACACACACACACCTGTTGGAGTTTTATTTTGGGGGGGGTTTGCTATAGGGAGCATGCGCTCACCAGACAGACAGAGAGAGACAGAGAGATAGAGAGGGAGAAATCACCCCCCCGTGGGGGGCAGCCACGCCACAATCCGTTCTCCTCCATTCTCCTCTCAGAAGCTTGGGCATGCACACACACACACACACACACCAGTGGGAGTTTTGTTTTGGGGGGGGTTTGCTATAGGGTACGTGCACTTGCCAGAAAGACAGAGAGAGACAGAGAGATAGAGAGTGAGAAATCACCCCCCCGTGGGGGACAGCCACGCCACAATCCGTTCTCCTCCATTCTCCTCTCAGGATCTTGGGCACACATGCACATGCGCCCGGCATGAGTTTAAGCCACTGGGTCCAGGACTAGAACTGCGGTCGACTACATGAGAGTCCAGCGACATAGCCATTATGTTAACTGTTGGTCCCCCAGTGTGAGTTTCAAGTCGCTCGGTCCAGGACTCGAACCACAGTGGACTACATGGGAGTTCAGCAATGTAACCATTATGCCATCTGCTGGTCCCTGCCCCAAAACTTAATTAAGGAGCAAAATTGGAACCAAATGTGTACAGAAGCTCTACAGAAACAATCATATGAAAACTACTGTGTTATTTCCTGATGGCGCTAAGATAACAGGAGCAAATGCCAGTTAGGTTCGCTGGGTGCTTGTCTGGGCCGTACCATTTATATGATTTCGAAATGAAGTTGGGTTAAGATACAGAAATGGACAGTTAGCTTAACTAATTAGGATCAGGTCTACATTTATGCTTGTCTCACAGTGGAGCCTGAGGGCTAAAAACACTTGAATTTGACAAGTATATGCTATTAAATATATTTTAAATGTAGCATGCGAACTATTTCCTCTAAATATTTTAGCAAAATAACATAAAATCATTAAGGCATTTAGCTGACAAATATTTCTCTTCCTAATAAAACTCTAGCAGGCGCCAGCAGGTGGCATGGTGGTTAAGGCGTTGGATATTCCCACATGGCTGACCAGACCTGGTGGCTTGCTTTCTCACTTTCTCTCTCTCTCTCTGGTCAAATTTAAATAAATGAATGAATAAATAAAATAAAAAATAAATAATCCTTAAAATAAATAAATCTCTAACTGTATCTGAATTAATTTATAACTATTGTATCAACTTGTTAGATAAATCTGACTCAACAAAATACAGTGAGTTTTTTTTCCTTCATGGCTTAAGTTACAATGAATATAACAAATAACAAAGGGAAATTAGCTAGGAAAAAAGTGGCCATATTTAGCTGATTTACTAATGAAATTTTAACATTCTTTATTTCCAGTCTGCCAGAAAGTGCTTGCACTCCCAGAAACAGAAAAAGAAAGGGAGAGGGAGAAAGCACCCGCCATGGGGAATAGTCATGCCAATATCCCTTTTCCTTCATCTCTTCCTCTCTTCAAGATTTTGGGTATGCATATATACCGAGCATATCCCTCAAATGGCCAGGTCTGGGACTTGAACCTTGTAGGTTGCTATATGGAATCCATTTCCCATAACCACCAGGCCACGGGGCTGGCCCTCCAAAGGCAATTTTTTTTTTTTTTTTTTTTTTTAGAGAGACTTTTGCTATAGGGTCCATGAACTTGCTGGCAGGACAGAGACAGAGAGACAGAAAGCAAGAAATCACTGCCCGGGGGGATGGCCACGCTGCAATCCCTTCTCCTCCATCCTCCTCTTAGGATTTTGGGCACGTACAGACTCACACACCCAGCGTGAGTCTCAAGCAGCTCGGTCCAGGACTCAAATGGCGGTCAGCCATGTGGGAGTCCAGCACCTTAACCACTATGCCACTGGCTGGCCCCTATAAATGCAGTTTTAAGGACTTACAGTTTCTGTGTCTGGGATCTTATGGGGTTGAAGCCCAAATTCCAAGTTCTTAACTTTTACTCCAAAAACTTCTTTACTAAAAATTTCATAAATACCTAAAATGAAATATAAACATATTTACATTGTCCACAATGTTAGTAAAGAAAGAAGATAAAATTTAAAAGTAACTCTTACATTTTCCATTAAACACCGCTATTCGTGGCTGATATTTCTGTAATTTCTGTACTAGAATACGTCCTCCTTCACGAAATTCTTTACTAAAATTGAATTAAGAAGTAGTCAAAAATGTAAATAGGGCAATATTTAGAATATGCTAAATTCAGGTAGCTTTCAATAAAAGATCACTTCACACATTTGTCAAGATCAACTTGAACTAGACACATGCAACATTTCCATAATATGTGAGGCACCAAGAGTCAAGGTTCCAACCCATAAAAAGAAACGTGACATCATTACCTGGAAAGATCTTTGCTGCCTGGCGTCGTCCTTTCCACCATGTTGGTAAACCCAATACCATACTTCCCAGGTAAAGTGTGGTCATCCATATGATTCAGTTGGACCTCACTCAGCCCTGACATAAACAGACACTTCCCTGTGGAAAGAGAGTTCAGTTTATTTCTGCAGAGCCCCAAAGAATTAATGTGGTAGTTTATATTCTATTCTTGAAGTTAAAAAAGAAGGAAAAAGAGAGTACGTGGCAGAAAGGTCAAGGTGCCGGATCCCACGTGGCCAATTTCACTGCTCGAGTCCCTAGATCTAGTAATATGTTTGCTTGAGTCAATATACAGTGTGCTCTGGATGGGAAAACACATTTTGTATGCTGCAATGATATACAGTGAATGAATGTAAAATAAATACATTAAAAAAAACAAAAAAAGTAGTGGTGCAGGGCCAGCCCCATAAGATAGTAGTGAAGCACTGTTAGGAGGGAATTAGATCCACGTGACCAACAATAATTCAAATCTTGATCTCAGAGGCTTGAAAAGCCACAGCGGGAATGCATGTGCATCCCAGATCCTGACCAGATGAAGAGAGGAAAGGAGATTACAGTGTGACCAGGCTCCACCGAGGGTCGCTTTGTCTCTCTTTCTCTGGTGTGCACATGTACACTCTGGCATTTAAAAAGAAAAGGAAAAGTTGAACGGGTGGCCAAGTGGTTAAGGAGCCAGATCTCACATGGCCAACTGCACAGTTCAAATCCTGGCACTAGTGGCTTGAGAAACATGCTGGGTGGGACCAGGAGATGGTGTAACGGTTACGTCACTAGACTCCCACATGGCTGAACATGGGTCGGGTCTCAGACCTGGCGGCTTGAAACTCACATCGGGTGTATGTGCGTGTGTGCCTAAAATACCAAGAGGAGAATGAAGGTGAAGGGACTGTGGTATGACCATCCCTCTGGTGGATGATTTCTCACTCTGTCTTTCTCTCTCTCTTGTAAGCACAGACTCTGTCTCTCTTTGTCTCTCTGGTGAGTACATGTGTCCTGTAGCAAAAAATCTCTTAAAACAAACAAACAAACAAACAAAAAAACGATTTAAGAGGGCCTGCCAGGTGGCATGGTGGTTAATGTGGCTGGATCCCACTTGGCTGACTGCACAGTGAAGTCCTGGAGTTGGTGGCTTTGAAAATATGCCACGGGCTGGGACCAGCAGTTAGCATAATGAATATTTTGCTGGACTCCCATGTAGTTGACCAAGGTTCGAGTCCCAGACCCAGTGGCTTTAATCCACGCCGGGCACGTGTGCATTGTGTGTCCAAGATCTCGAGAGGAGAATGGAAGAGAAGGGATTGCGGCATGGCCATCCCCCCTGGGAGGGGTTGTGATTTCTTGCTTTCTGTCTCTCTGTCTCTCTCTGTCTTTCTGGTGAGCACACGCACCCTATAGTAAAAACCTCTCCAAATAAACAAACAAAAAAAACGAAAATATGCCAGGGGCATGTGTGTGCATGCCTGCTCAAAATCCCAAGAGGAGAGTGGGTTGGGGAGAAGAGATCGCAGGGTGGCTGGCCATCCCTCCCAAAGGGGGAGGGGGTGATATCTCACTTTCCCTCTTCTGCTCTCTGGCAAGCACATGTACCCTATAGCTAAAGCTAAAAAAAGATAAAAATGAAATAAACTTTTAAAAAAGCAAGGAAACTTGGGGCCGGCAGGTTTCATGGTGCTTAAGGGCGCTGGATTCCCACATGGCCAACTTGTAGTCTCAGACCTGGTGGCTTGCTTTCTCGCTTTCCCTTTCTCTCTCTCTCTGTCTTTCTCTGGTCAAATTAAAAAATAATAACAATAAATGGAATTAAATAAATAAAGAATTCTTTTTTAAAAAGGCAGTAAAGCTCATTGAGAACAATGCAAACAAAGGAGGAGAAGGTACTCTACTCTCATACACAAAGTTTCATCGGAGACATACTCTTTCAAATCCTTTAATACACATACACACACAGAGAAAACAAAAAATGTCTATTTAATCTCTTCTTAAAGACACAAGTGATTTTAAAAAATCCTATTAATGAAGATAACTCATTAAGAAATAAACAAATAAGTAACACTTACAAAAATGGTTTCCAGGTCCAGGGTAATGATGCCCTTTGTAAGCAGCCATGAGTCCTGGGTTTATCCCAATCTACAAAACACAATGGTCACGCATTTCAGTCTTATAATGTAGGGTTTCAGCCTTAGGACTTCTAAAGAGGAACAAGGGGCAAAACTGAACTGACTAAAATACGAATTTAATCCAGCACCACAAGCATTTTGATCAATTACTACTCTTGACCTGACTGAAATATTCCACATAGAGGAAAAAGGTTTCCTCTGTATTAAAATATTTGGTGTTGTTTTTAAAAATCATTTTGAAGGGCCAGCAAGTGGCATAGTGGTTAAGGCGCTGGATCCCACATGGTCGATTCCACATTTCAAGTCCCAGACCCAGTGGCTTAAAAAAGACACTGATACATGTACGCACATGCCTAAAATCCCTAAAGGAAAATGGAGAAGACACAGTAGCATGGCCATCCAACCAGGGAGGTTATTACTCACATTCCCCCTCTTTGTCTCTATCTCTCTCTGGCAAGTGTGCCCTATGACAAAAATCTAAAAAAGATCAAAATACATCAATTTGAGGCCATGGCATAATAGTTAAGGTGGCTGGATCCCTCGTGGCTGACCTCATGGTTCGAGTCCTGGGGCCCAACAGCTTGAGAAACACACCAGGCATATGTGCTGACCAGCCCCAAGTCTCAAATGAGGGAGAAACGGAGAAGCAATTTCAGCATAGCCCTAGCCCATGAGGGGTGCTTTATCACTTTCCCTTTCTTTCTGTTTCTAGGAAATTAAAAACAAAATGAAACAAAACAAAACAAAAAACAATAGTTTGACTCCCCCACAACCTCAAGCTCTCACCCCTCCCCTAGTCTGGAAAAAACAAAGTCCTAGACAATGAGCTAATCTGAGCCACGTCCAGCTACGAGTCTGGTTCTCAACTCCAAGCGGCTTATTCCACAACACCTACACAGCTGTCCACATGTTGAGATTTCTTCTAGTTACTGAGCAATATAAAAGTTCAAAATCAGTGCTCTCATTTACAGAGTACTCACAGGTATCTTGCAACAAGTAATTCACGTGGATTAGTTCTTTTAACTGCAACTCTAGGAGGGACAGAGTACCAGCACCCCTGTTTCATCAGTGAGGGAAATGGTGCTCAGAAAAGTTAAGGCTTGACCAAGGCTCTACCTTGTGATAGGATTTGAACCCAGACAGTCCCAATCTGGAGCCCATGGTTTTCGACATTCCCATCATGACACAAGCTCCTGAAGTTGACATCGTCTGCCGCCAGCAGGACTCAGAAAATGTTCTTCTTGGCAAAATACTATTTGCAAGAACAACTATTATATGACATAGCTAATCCACCACTACTTCAAAAATCAAATAAAAACCAAATTTCTTACAATCACGATGTCCAAGTTGAAGGTCAAAATGTCAGGGAGAGTCTTGGTCAAAAGTTCAGCTTCTGAAACACCATTAAAACGGTCTACTTTTCTTTTCACTTTAAACGCATCTGTAATTTTTTCTTGCTGTTCTTTTGATTTCGCTGATTTGCCAGATTTTTTTGACTCAGCAGGTTTTTTGGGTTCCACTGGTTTTTTTGGTTCTGTTGTTCTGGGTTTTCTTTTCCTTCCTTTTGGAGCCTCTGAAACACAATGATTTCCAGAATGTAGATCAGAAACCTAAGCAACTTTGGGCCAGTGGTGGCATGGTGGTTAAGGAGGCTGATCTCACATGGTCTACAGACAGGTTCGACTCCCAGAACTGGCAGCTTGAGAAACAAGCCAGGTATGTGTGCGTGCACACCCAAAATCCCAAAAGAGAGAAACTAGAGAAGGGATTGTGGTATGACCATGTCCCATTAAGGGAAGGGATGCTTTCTCACTTTCTTTTGCTCTGACTCCCTCCAATGAGTGCACACACCCCTTGACAAAATTAAAAAAAAAAAAAAAAAAAGATTGAACAACAACAAAAAAATCAATCTAGGATTATCATTGGCATTTGTCTCCAGAAACTGCTAGCAGCAGGAGAAGCGTGAGGGGTGGGGCCCACACAGAAAATTCAAGATGAAAGAAGAAAAGGCACTGGAGGGGGGGGGTACCAGCAGATGGCGTGGTAGTTAAGGCGCTGGACACTCCCACATGGCCAACCGTGGTTTGAGTCCCGTATCTGGCAGCTTACTTTCCCACTTTCCCTCTGCTCTCTCTCACTGGTCAAATGAAAATAAATGAATGAATAATAAAATTGAATAAATAATTAAAAAAAAAAAAAGGTACTGCGGAAGAGACTGATGCTGAAAATAAAAGCATTGTTTGGGGAAATAGGTAAAAAGAGTGTTGACATGGGACCAGTAAGTGGTGCAGTATGTAGTCCCACATGGCCGACCATGGTTCAAGTTCTGAACCTAGAAGACTGAAAATTATACCGGGCACGTGTGCATTCATGCCCAGGGTCCCAAGAGGAGAACAGAGGATAAGAGATTGCGGTGTGGTCATCCTCCTTGAAAGGAGGGGAGATGCTCTTTTATTCTCTTTCTTTCCTCCTCTTGTCTCCAGTGAGCATGAGCCCTATGGCAAAGCTTAAAAGAAAAAAGGAAGTATGATGTATATTCTATTCCACATACAGTCAGAGATCAATTTAGAGCTACTAGAACGTAATGTGTAGGCCGACAGTGATTTTTTTTTTTTGCTATAGGGTGCGTGCGCTCAAGAGACAGAGACAGAGAGGTAGTGACATAGTACCCCTCAGAGAGGATGACCACCCTAGAATCCCTTTTCCTCCATTTTCATTTTGGGATCTTGGTCATGTAAGCACACACACCAGCCATGATTGTGAAGCTGCCAGTTCCTGGACTTGAACTGTGGCTAGCCATATGGGAATCCAGCGCCTGGACCGATACACCATCTGCTGGCCCCACCAACAGTGATTTTCAAAAGGTCAAATTAGGAGATAAGTAATCTCATCTCAGAACCGAAAGCAGTTTCTTGACCTCTGTGCTACTGAATATTTTGTTGCTGGAGAAAATCATGGCCATCTCTCCACCCACAAAGTCTCTTCTCTTGGGACCAGCAGTTGGTGCAATGGCTATGTCGCTGGGCTCCCATGTAGTCAACCGAAGTTCAAGTCCTGGACCCGGTGTTCTATACCCCAGACTCAAGCAACAGAATCTCTCAGCTTTCTGATGTCATGCTTCTTCAGGTCTGTACCTTGCCACATGCTGTTCCTCAGCCTGGAATCGTCCCCCTCCATTCTTCCTAGGGCTGAAGTTTCCTTGCTCTTGGAGGTGCAGAATTCTGGTATTCTTTTTTTTTTTTTAAGAGAGGTTTCTGCTATAGGGCTCGTGTGCTTGCCAGAAAGACAGAGACAGAAAGCGAGAAATCACCCCCCAGCAGGGATGGCCACACCATAATCCCTTCTCCTCCATTCTCCTCTCGGGATCTTGGTGAGTTCTGGTGTTATACCTGTGCTCCAGGCAACTGCCTGGGAGCCTTCGGTCCAAGTTAGGTACCGATCCCATCAGCTCGGACAGCACCTGCCCTGGGCCCTCTTCAACATGCTGTGCTGACTGTGCGGGGGTTCACTTATGGCTTTACTAGGTTCTGAGCTGCTAAAGGGCAGGATCCACGTACTTTCATTCCCCAGGATCGATCACAGTTCTTAGCACATACTAGGTGCTTAAAAGTAGATTACATTTGTTAACACTAAAATACAGCTAAAATTCAGGGGCCAGCAGGTGGCATGGTAGTTAAGGGACTGGACTCTCACATAGCCAAGCGGGGTTTGAATCCTGGACCCAGCAACTTGAAAATCATGCCGGATACACGTGTATGCGTGCCCAAAATCTTGAGAATGGAGGAGAAGGGACTGCAGTGAGGCCATTCCCCTGGGGGATGATTTCTCATTTTCCCTTTCTCTCAATCTCTCTCTCTCTGTCAAGTGTACGTGCCCTGTGGTGGTAAAACAAACAAACAAACAAACAAACAAACAAAACCATAGAGCTAAAAATCATCACTAAGCCCTTTTATTCTTTCTTTTTAAGAGGTTTTTTTTTTTTTTTTTTTTTTTTTTTTTTTTTGGCCTTAGGTGCATGCGCTCACCAAAGAGAGAGTGAAAGAGACAGAGATAGCGAGAGGAGAGTTAGAAATCACCTCCTGGGAGATGGCCATGCTACAATCCCCTCTCCATTCTCCTCCCGGGATCTTGGGCATTTACAAACATGCAGTTGGCATTAGTTTCAAGCCACCAGGTCCAGGATTCAAACCATGTAGGAATCCAGCAACATAACTGCTATGTCATCTGCTGGACCAAGCCCTTTCTTAACTAAGCTGGCTGATTCAGTATCTAACTTGCTAAACTATCATGGTGACACTACCTTGTACAGGTTCCTGAGCAGGAGCTTCAGCTGGACCTTCTGCCATCACTGGCTGTTCATTCATAACTGCCACGTTAGGAGCTTCGGCCATCATTTGTTGAAATGGAAATGTATAAAAAGCTTGAGCTTGCTGAAAGGAATAGCTGGAAGACACAGTAATGATAATTACTCACATGTACATTTACATGATCAGCTGTAGAAAAGTCTACAGGATTCCCACATTTTATAACCAGTTTGCAGTGTTTATTTAGAGTATATTGGAGGACAGGAGAGAGGAGGAAGATCCATTCCCATGTGTCCACATTTGCCCGACCTTTACTGAGTGCCTATTAACCAAACATCGACTCTCGCACCGTTTAACAACAAGACGTGTCACCAATAAAACATCAGTCCTGTCAAGCCGGCCTGTACTTTCTCCGAAATGAGATCATGGGAATTTTCTAGTACTCAGACTTGAGAGTGTGTCTACCTATACAGAGTTACAATGTCTAGAGATACAATTTGTGTCTACCTTCAGAATGTAATCATCTTGTTATAAAGATCAGCCACAATCTAACTTTGGGCTCTCCACTAACTTACTTGCCTGTTATTTATTTATTAGATTTGTTTTTTCATTGCTGCTGGTTTTCCGTTGTCTTGTTGGAGTAGGTCTTTTTTGGCCTCTAAATAGAGACTAGAAATGGCAATTTTGTAAATATGAGAAAGGATTAGGAGATACCTAGGAGGCAGAATTAGTTGGCCATAGTTAATGGATTTCTTTTGGGGGGTGAGGGAGAGAGAAGTGTGTGGCAGTAACCCCCAGTTTCTGGCATAGGCAGTTAGTTGGCTGAAAGAGGTATTGCTCACTAAGATGGAGAATTAGAAGAGAAGAGAGCCCGTGGGAGGAGAGGTCATGAGTCTCTCTCTCCTGGTAGTATTTCTATGAGAAATGTTGAATGTACAAAAGAAAAAGAACTCCCCTGACCTCTCTTTTGAACATGATTTAAGCTTCATTCAAAGTATTCTGTTCATGGATGCTTTCAAAGAAAACAGTGACCAAAAAACTTTCTGACGACCTTAACCCACTATCTGAAGCTTCTGTTATCAGCACTCAGCTATGACCCCCTTATATCAAACCCACTCACAAGATGCTCTTGTGTCCCTTTGTTCACCTTCCTCCATCACGTATGTCCCCAACTGATCTGGGCTAGCCCTCTCCTTTTCCTGTTTGCCTCATCTTCTTTCTCAGCCTCGTTTGCACACTACAGTACTCCAGTGCTCACGGGACCGGTTTTCAGAGTGGCCTGAATCGATGAGCTGAGTATTTTCTGATGGTCTTTCTCAAAACACACACACCCTCAAAGCTGAATAGGAAATCCAGTTAACTTTTTTTTTTTTTTTTGAGATATTTTTGCTATAGGGCGTGTGTGCTTGCCAGAAAGACAGAGTGAGATAGAGAGATAGAAAGCGAGAAATCACCCCCCAGGGGGGATGGCCACGCCACAATCCCTTCTCCTCTATTCTCCTCTCGGGATCTTGGGCGCGCACACACACACACACACACACACACACGCACCTGGCGTGAGTTTAAGTCACCAGGTCCGGGACTTGAACCACGCTCTACTACATGGTAGTCCAGCGACATAGCCATTATGCCAACTGCTGGTCCCAGGAAGTCCAGTTAAGTTACACTGGCTGTATTTCAAAAAGCAGAATTTTTAAAGTTTTATCTAAAATCAATGACTCCAACTTCATCTTTTAATTGCTAGAGAGTGCATGTACAGAGAATAGGAGACAGACAGAGAGAAGAAGAAGTGGGAGAGAGCGAGACCCAGCAGGGCATGGTCATGCTACAATCCCTTCACCCATTTCTCAATGCTGTGGGGATGTTGCACCCAGCGAGTTTTTCAAGCCACTGGAGTCAGATCTCAACTGTGGCTGGCTGCATGGGATCTGGCTCTTTTAATCACTATGCCAGGGGACCGGTCTTCTAACTTCTTTAATCTTTAGTTATTTTATACTATCTTAAGGATTTAAGTTGCTACTTTCTAAATACATTTTGTTACCTTCACTTGAACAAACATATACAATACTAAATACTTGCAAGGTGGTAGTGAATAATACACTGGGTTAGTTAAATAAACCACAATGAAATATCACTGCAATTACGAGGCTGTCTCTGACACAGCTCAGTGGAAGTGTGTGTATTTGCCACGTGCACGGTCTACTTGAAACTGTGAATACGAAGATTTTGAATAAGCCAGAGCTCTTAGTTCATTTAACTATTCCCCCCCATACAGTGCAGTTTCAAATTTCTTTACTATGTGGTTGATTTTTGGTGCTCAGAATAAAATAAAATACTCCAAATAAAGGCTCACCCACCTGAAACTGAGCAAGTTTCACCCAACTATCAACTTCCGCATTTTGGAGACAAACTGCAGAACCCATCCCATTGGCTTCACTGGTTCCCACATACTGCTGATTCACATTGACTTTACCATTGATGGAAGCTGCTCTTATATCACTTCTCCCTGGTCCCACACTTCATTATTGATTTTTCTGCACCTACTATGGGGCTGTGCAGCGTTTCATAAAAGATGATTCACCATTCCAGCCAGCTAGGTTCCCTCTGGATGCTGATTCAATGTATCATTTCACAAACCCCTCCCAGGCTGGGCCACTTGCAAATTTGATCAGCACCCTAAGCAGTCACACTGTTGAACAAAGTTGGGAACAGTGATATACAGTGTATCAGCACAGACCTCTCCTCAGTTTGCCCTTGATCCTTTTAGTAATAAATTAATTTTGTCTTTCACCTACTAAGAATGTCATCAGTCTCTCCTCATTCTGCCCAGAAAGAGAAGTGATACAGCATGCTGTTAGCTAGGGAGGAAGACTTTGAAGCTAGACTGCCTAAATTCAAATTTCAGCTGAGTCATTTGTAAATTTCCTTAACTTCTTTATGCCCTGGCTTCTACATCTCTAAAAGGGGAGTAAGAGCACCTAATTCACTGGCCAGGATGATTAAATTAGCATATGTAAAACAGTGTCTGGCATTTGGTAAACTTGCTATATAGTAACAAAGACCATTCTAGGTATCCCCCCGATGTTAATCTACCTAGCATAGGTCTCTTGCCTTCTTCTGAATTTAGTGGTCACTAAGTCCTTTTTAAATGCTCAGTAAGCACTAATAAGGAAAATTTTTGTTCAGGACCAATGTCAATAGAAGACAGACTCCATCTACCTGCTGGCTACAAATTCGCAGAGATTGCTGAAATCTGGCCTCTCTCTCGAAATACAACTCATCTGGGCCAGAACATATAATTTCTGTTAGAGCAGCTAAAAGTCCTCTCAAATGCTCTCACTGATCTTGAGCATTAAATCTCTACGTTAATAAAGACTAAATTATGGCCATTTCCAATCTACCAATCATTTTCCTAGAAAATGAAAAAAATCAAAACCCAAACAAAGTACCAATTACTTATGTTTTGTCATCTTCTAACACCATGCCTGTGAACTGGACAGAAAACTCAAACTGTTTTGTCTTTATTGGTGTCTATATTTAAATGAAACAGTCCTTCCTGGTCTCTTTTTCATGTTTTCTTGGTGTTCCATGTCACTCTTTTCCCGTCAACTTTGCTTTGGCATCTCATTTCCCACCTTTGAGAAATAGACTTTTCATGCTTATGGAAATTGGAAACACACTATTCCTCATATAATTCCTTCTTGTTTCATCTCCGGTTGGATGAACTGTAGGTGCTTTTTAAAAATCTTGAACTATTTTCCTTAAACAGAATCTGTACTGGGACCAGCAGTTAGCATAATGGCTATGTCACAGACTCCCAACCATCTAGTCCACTGCAGTTTGAGTCCCGGACCCGGTGGCTTAAACTCATTCTGGGTGCGTGTGTGTGCATGCCCAAGATCCTGAGAGAATAATGGAGGAGAGGGACTACAGTGTGGCCATACCACCTGGGGAAGTGATTTCTCGCTTTCTGTCTCTCTGGGGCGCATGCGCCCATAACAAAAACCTCTCCAAAAAAAGAAAAAAGAATCTTTACTGGGCCAGCTCCTGGTCTGGTGGTTAAGGGAGCCAAATCCCATGTAGCTGACCCTGCAGTTCAAGTCCTGAACCTGGCAACTTGAGAAATATGCTGGGCACACATGTATGCCCAAAATCCCAAAAGAAGGGAATGATGTAGGGATTGCAGAGTATTTATTCCCCACAGGGGGTACTTTCTTCTCTCTCTGTCTCTAGCCCTCCTGGGGAAATGCATGCTCATACCCTCTTACCAAAAACAAAAAAACAAACAAACAAAAAAAAAAAACAAAAAACAAAGTCTAATAGAATGAATTTTCTTCTTTGAATGCCTTTAATCTTCCAAAAATAGAAAGTACTGAGCATTCCCTTTCTTGATTAGCATAAAGTCATAATTACTTGGGATCTGAATCATTTCAGAACCTCTAAGCATAAACTCTTCAGAGTATTATATAGAACTTTTCCTGAGTTAAAAGCTTTGCAAGCTCAGATGAAATTAAGATAACATAAGTCACAGATTTGTGCTAAACAGTGTACTGGAGTCCTATTATCTTGCTGTGCAACAACAATAAGGTCTTATAACATGTAATTCGTTTGGTGGTCAGCTTTAATCATCTTTCAATTCTGCTCTGAAATAAGATCACAAGGGGAAGGGCGATTTCCACAAATCCTGTTGAATTCTCTTCTTTGTAAAGTTCTTCAGGGAAAGAATTAGAGTGCTTTATTCCAGGTTTTGAGCCACCAAGTCAGGCTAAAGTTTGCACGTCACCTACATATATTTCTTCTCCTAGATTCTAAGACAATTTATTACCTAAGGATGACTTAAAAATAACACCAACGCACCAGTCAGATTTTAGAGACATCTTTTAATAGACATGAGCAGGCCCACGAAACTGTCCTGTCTTGCCTAAATCCAATTGTTCTGCCACTGAAAGTCAGAATAATCCAGAGATCTAATAGTCTTTGGTTTCAGTGTTAATGATCGTTATTATTATTTTTTTGAAGGCCCTGTCACCCCGTTTTTCTCATTTATCTTACTCCCGGCAGTTCAAATCTCAGCAGCTTTGCGTTTTGCAAAATCTCTTCTTCGTACATCTTATACTCCCAACAGATTCCTAAGGTAGTCCCCAAGACCACCGGAAAGCTCCGTTTGTAGACTTGACTTGGGAGTGCTACACTGCGCATTTCCATAGCAACATACCCCTCGCTGCGATCCTTTAGCATGCCTCTAGCGTCGACCACAGTACTTCTACCACCCTGAAAATAAAAACTCCCCGAACTGGATACTCAAGATATCCGATCTTTTCAGGTCTTTGCATGAAAACGGAGAGTGCAGGGAAATGCAGCCAAGAACGGCACCGGAAAGAAGTACTTATTAACCGAGACTGCTAAGTAAGGTACACAGGGGCCCAAGTGTACGAGGGACGGGCCCGCGCGGCGGAGCGGGGCCGTAGTGCGCACGCGCGCCCGGCCTTTGTACTGGGCCGCGCGTTTAAAGACCCCTGCGCGCGCTCGTCCGCCCGCCGCCCCCGCAAGGGGCGCGGGGAGGCCGGAGGGGGCGAGGGGGGCGGCGCTCCGCCTCGGCTTTACCTGCCGGCGTTCTCAGCTTCCATTCCCTGCGGTCGCTCGCGCGGGCGGGTCC